CATTAGGTTAAATAAAAGACATTGCTAAAATTAGTTTTACCTGTAGTTACTTATTTATTCTTTTGAGATGAAGTCTCACTATGTTGCCCAGGCTGGAGTGCAGTGGCATGATCATAGCTTACTGTTACCTCAAAGTCAAGTGGCCTCAGCCACCAAGTAGCTAGGATTACAGGCACTCACCACCACATCTGGCTAATTTTTAAAATTTTTTTGTAGAGATAGGGTCTCACTATGTTGTCCAGGCTGGTCTCAAACTCCTGGCCTCAAAGAATCCTCCGCCTCAGCCTCCTGAGTAGCTAGGACATGCACTACAGCACCAGCCTTTTTATTTTTTATTTTTTATTTTTTTTGAGATGGAGTCTCGCTCCATTGCCCAAGCTGGAGTGCAGTGGCACTAGCTCGGCTCACTGCAACCTCCACCTCCCTGATTCAAGCAATTCCCCTGCCTCAACCTCCCAAGTAGCTGGGATTACAGGCGCACACCGCCAGGCCCAGCTAATTTTTTCTTGTATTTTTAGTGGAGGCAGGGTTTCACCATGTTGGCCAGACTGGTCACGATCTCCTGACCTCAGGCAATACACCCACCTCGGCCTCCCAAAGTGCTGGGATTACAGGCGTGAGCCACCACCCTCGACCCTTTTTATCTTTGTTTAAATGGCTGCTAGAAAATGAAAAATTTCATCTGTGCCTTGGGTTGTATCTTTATTGGGCTGCGCTGGTTTCATGGCTCTTCCTGTATCTCCATCCCAGATTAACTCACACCCGGAACTCAGCCCTTTACCCTGCTTTCTGCAGAACACCTGCTCTCCTAGGCCTCTGTTCACTCAGCAGCGAAGCCCTGGCGTGCGGGCAGTTTGCCCCACAGCAGTGAATTCATCCAGAATTTGAACATGTGTGTGGCCGCCCTCTCTAAAATGTCTTAGTCCCCATCATGGTTCTCTGTACTTTCTCATTCAGTACCCCTTTCCCAGTTCCTCCCATTGTCTTTTGCAGAGAAAATCCCACTTTCTCCAGCACTAGCGTGTGCCAGACTCACCTCCCGCCTGGCCTTGCCTCGCACATTCTCTGCGAAGGGTTGAAATCTCTGCATGGGGAGGGCCTGCCACCCTACTGGACAAGACCCCTCCTGCTTCCAGAATCTTGCCTCCCTGTCTGTGGACATGCCCTCAGCCTGACTTGATACCCTCTAGAGCGCACACAGGGGAAGGGGACAGGGAGACACACCCTTCCCAGCACCAGGGCTCCCGCTGGCTGGGGAACATCACGAGAGTGGTCTCCTCCCACACCCACTGATTTTTCCCACACTCCTCTTTGCTCCCCTGCCCCACTCATCCATATCACACAGACAGACCCTCCTATGCCCTCTGTCACGCTCATGTACAATATGTCCCAAATGCCATCGTCCATGTGTTCTCACAGTTCACACAGGGTTGCTTTCACTGCCTCACGTGTGGGGGAGCTGCCCTCATCACGCACAGATGCCCGCCCACCCCAACCCACACACATGCATGTGTATAGGGCCCCTGTGAACACAGATGCATTTATTTGTGCACAGATAGGTGGGCACAGAGAGTGAGACACATGCTCATCACCAGGCACCCCCAGGAGACAGGGAACCCTTGGTGGCACTCACCTCGCTCCCTCAAACGCCTCTTCGTGTGGACGCTGGTCTTGACGGCAGCCTCACATTCTCTCCCACGCCGCCCACGCTCACGCCTGCTCCACACACAGTCTCCTCGCCCCAGCCAGCAAGCTCTCTCGAAACCCCTCCCCTCCTCCACCCACCCAGCTCTGTCACTGGAGAAAGTCTGGAAAGCTGAGAGTTAAGGTGCTGAGAAAAAAAAAAAAAAAAAGGAGGGAAAATCCACTGTATTCTGGTGATAGAAACTCCTGCCGGGAGATGGGCTCAAGTCCCAAAAGGGACCCAGGAGTCTGAGATTACAGCAGAAATTAAAAATCCAAATGAAGCCTCCTCCCTTTCTAGAATTTACCATCTGGGTTTGACTGAAAAGTCAACCACAGGAGCCTGGTCCTTCTCACAGAGAAGACAAAGGTGAGTCTGACAGAGCGGCAGGCTCTGTGACACCCTGCAGGGGATAGTGAGGGTCTCGGGGAGCGGGTCTGGGTGGCTGTATTTAGGGCAGCTGTGATGTCAGCGGAAAGGAGGGTTTGAGTTGGGAATATGGCACAATGGCCCCTTTGTCCCCCTCCCCTCCTGTCCTGTACACACTGAAACCACACACCAGCCCCACACCACGTGATACAGGCTCTGAGCTGCCCATGGGGCACTGCCACAAAAGGCTGCCCCCGTTGCAGCCCTGACCCACAGTGTGTGTGTCCACATACATGCCCACGCATGTACACACACACTCACATACCCACATGTAGATTTGTACAGAGGTGACAAGAGGCATATTCACTCCTTTGCCTACAGCTCTGCTGCCCCATGCGGTAACCCTTATCCCACATAGAGTTAGTAAAATTAATTGCAATTCAGTAAAAGTGGAAACTGCATTCCTCAGTCACACTAGCTGCATCTCACATGCTCAACAGCTGCGTGTGGTTAGCGGCTACCGTACAGGGCAGTGCAGCTCTAGGACATGTCTGTTGCTGCAGAAAGGCCTGCCCTGCGCCCTCCATTGCTGTCCGCTCCCCCATGGGCCTGACTTTCACTTGCTCTTCCTCTCACACTTGCTCACTCCGGTGCACAAAGCACACACAGCGCCACGCTCTCACCTAATGGGTGGCCTCTCTAGCTCAGTCTCTCTCTTTAGTCTCTCCAGTACCTAAGCGCAGACTCCGCCTAGCCCTGCATCGCAACACCTGGCCTCTAGTCTGGAGAGAATAACAGGATGGAAACATGACCACATCCACAATCCTAGGGTGAAGGACCGAGGGGAGCTATGTGGATCTGGAGAGCTTTGGAAACTCAGAGGGGCTGAGCTCAGGCTGGGTTGGGCAGGGAAATGGGAGGAGAATGACACATTTGAACATGGCCCAGACAGTAGGGCACTGAGCATGCAGAGAGAAAGGACATCTAGGAAGGCCTGGAAGTGGGGAAATGCAGTGCATTTGTGGAAACTATGGCCACCCTTTTTGGTTGGTGTGACACATGTAGGCAGGGGAGGGGACAGTGAGGCTGGGCAGGTGGGTAGTGACCAGGTAGAGCCTTGGATGCCAGGCTCAGGATGTCCCTGGGTCCCCCATGAGGGCAGATGGGGATGTGGCCTGGACAGCCAGGGTCCTTAAGTCCCAGAGGTCCAGGTAGACAGGGTTTCTGCCAGCATGGCAGGCATCACCAAACAAGCAACACATTGATCAAGAGATGGAGCCCAGCACTGTGGCTCATGTCCTTAATTCCAGCACTTTGGGAGGCTGAGGCAGGCAGATCACTTGAGGCCAGGAGTTCGAGACCAGCCTGGCTAACATGGTAAAATCCTGACTCTACTAAAAATATAAAAATTAGCTGGGTGTGGTAGTGCATGGCTGTCATCCCAGTTACTTGGGAGGCTGAGGCACGAGAATCGCTTGAACCTGGGAGGCGGAGGCTGCAGTGAGCTGAGACTGCGCCACCGCACTCCAGCCTGGGCCACAGAGTGAGACTCTGTCTCAAAAAAAAAGAGAAAAAGAGAGTTGGATGGGCATCATACAACTTTGGGTAATTTGCATGTGAATAAACCTTCATTTATATGCCATCATTCTTATCCTCTGTATACCTATTCCCTTTCCACACTGTCCTAAGTGTGGTAGAAGTGCTAATGATGAATTATTAAAGGCCATAATGAATGGCCATGAATACTTAATGACACCACGATATTAGTATTGCCGATGAATGCTATCTACAGACTTGACCATCTCTCTGGGGACCTTAGGGAGGAGCGTGGGCTTTTTGTTCCTTTCGGGTTTAGACCTGAGACGGGGTGAGAGAGGTGACCAGCTGTCGTCTCGCTGTCTCCCTGGCTCCGGGTGCCTGGTTCTCTCCGGACTTCTGACGCCCTGGATTCTCTGTCCCCCGCTGACCACACTTGCAGTCTCCCCTACCTGCGATGGGGGAGCCGAACAGTCAGTCACCTTCCCTCCGGGCCTCGGCATCTCAGGCAGGTGGGAAGGAGCAGGCAGAAGGTGAAGGAAAAAAGAAGGGAGGGAGAAGAGGAAGGAAGAGGAAGCAAGAATTTAAGAAAAAAAAAAAGAAAAAGCTTCAAAAGGAGTAGGCAGGAGGCAGGGGCACAATGGCTCCCCAGGCCACCCCAGCCCAGGGGTGTTGTGGTCTGGGGATTCAGGAGGTTGAGGCACCCAGTCCGTGGTGAGCAGGGCCGGGCCTCCTTCCTTCCTGAGAGCACTGTGCAAGCGACTTCCCCACAGCTCTCCCAGGCATCTGTCTCCCTCACTCCCCCAGGGCCAGGACAGCGAGCAGGGATCCCGCCTTCCTCCTGGTCCCTCCCAGACCCTCGCCAGGCTCAGCAGACCCCTCTCCCGTTGCATTGCTCCTTTGGCAGGAGCTCAGCATGGGTGTGGAGGGAGCAGAGGCCAGACGACCCTTCATGTCAGTCCAGGGAGAGGCCCCCAGGTCCTCCTCACGGGTTCCACTCCCCTCACCCTCCCAGTATCCGTGAGCATCCCACCGCCACCAACTGCAGGGCGTCCAGGGCGGTGGAGAGTGAATGGGCTTGAAGGGGAGTGGGCATAAGGTTTGGACATCCCCAGGTGTGAAGGGTGTGTGTGTGTTGTGCACGTGGATTGCCTGTATGGTATCGCAGGGGAGAAGAGAATTTGGAAACGGTGCAAGGGAATTGCAAGAGATAGAAAATAAAAGAGGAAATAAAAAGGTTTGAGGTATAAGAAGGGTGAGAGAAACGGGAGCAGGGCTATGGAGGGATCTAGAAGAAAATAGTGGGGAGAGAAAGGGCAGGAATGGAAGGCAAGCCCACCACCCCAAAGTCCCTTCCCCATATCTCCCCCTCCCCCAACTCCAAAGAAGGAAATTAGGAGGCCACTGCGGATTATGTTTGGGTCATTTCCACATGCTTTATTCCAGCAATCAAAATAATTAAAAACATCTCAAATTATTATACACATACAAAATAGGTACAGAGTCTTTTGCTTCCTCCCACCCCTAGGGGGAAAAACTGCTTTGTGCTTTGGGAAGTTGTCTCTGAAACCCGGGGAGAGAGGACGCAGGACAGACTAGGAGAGAGCCGGGAGGATGGGCTGCAGCTGTGGAGGAGGGTTTCAGAGGAGAGCGGTCAGAGAGCAGAGGCCTGAGAAGCCAGAAGCGGGTAGAGAGAGGGTGGAAAGTGAGCAACGGGCTGGGCTGGAGCCGCACACGCTCTCCTCCCATGTTAAATAGCACCTTTAGAAAAATTCACAAGTCCCCATCCACAAAAAAAAAAAAAAAGAAAAATATCAAGGAATAAAAATAGACTTTGAACAAAAAGGAACATTTGCTGGCCTGGGGGGGCATCTCAATTTCTATAGCACCAGTGATTCCCTCCCCACCCCATCACATAGATGTAGCACCTTTGGTATAAAATGGGGAGCCGCTTCCACCCTGCCCCCATCCCCGCCCCCAGGCAGTTGCCCCGGTGACACATCAAGACAAGAACGAGGTAGTCTTTCAGCAACACAGTTACACAAGGAACAGAACAGTCTCTCCCGCCCAGCCCTGCGGCACGAGGGATTGACGCGTTCCCCAAATCCGATGTTTCTGCTTTGTCGTGGCCCTTCCTGACTCTCCTCCGAACCCAGTGAGGGGCTGGTGGCTCCCCCGGCATGACCCCCTCAAAAACGAAGGGGAGATGTTGCAAGAGCCATGGGAGTGCCAGATGGCAAGGCTTCTTTGGCAGTCTGAGAACCCCAGGTCTCCCCAGGGTCTGGGGGTGCTGGGCGGGCAGGAGCGGGCTGAGGGTGGGGACCACTTGGGTGTTTCAGCATTGCCTTTGGTTGCTGGGCAGACAATGCATTGTTTCCTGTGTCTTCTGGGGAGACAGATTTGGGAAGGAGTGGAGGGGAGGCCCCAAGAGGGGGTGGAGAAAGGAGCAGAAAGGGCAGCGTTGGGGTTTCATAAGCCCAACGGGCAGAAAGGGACTTACCCCCGCATGGGTCTTCAAGCAAGTGGACCAAGCTTCCTTTTTTAAAAAGTTATTTATTTATTCTTTTTTTTTTTTTTTTGGTAAGGTTGAATGCACTTTTGGTTTTTGGTCATGTTCGGTTGGTCAAAGATAAAAACTAAGTTTGAGAGATGAATGCAAAGGAAAAAAAATATTTTCCAAAGTCCATGTGAAATTGTCTCCCATTTTTTGGCTTTTGAGGGGTTCAGTTTGGGTTGCTTGTCTGTTTCCGGGTTGGGGGGAAAGTTGGTTGGGTGGGAGGGAGCCAGGTTGGGATGGAGGGAGTTTACAGGAAGCAGACAGGGCCAACGTCGAAGCCGAATTCCTGGTCTGGGGCACCAACGTCCAAGGGGGCCACATCGATGATGGGCAGGCGGGAGGTCTTGGTGGTTTTGTATTCGATCACTGTCTTGCCCCAGGCTCCGGTGTGACTCTGGGGTGGGGCGGAGACAATGGGAGGGGGCATTACCACGTGGGAGTGATGGAAAGAGGACACTATGGCCTGCCCAAAAAGCCCAAGGCCAGAGAGGTGGGGCCCTGCCTGAGGATTCTGGCCACTCACCGTGCAGCCATCGACAGTGACGCTGTAGGTGAAGCGACTGTTGCCCTCGGCGCGGATCTCGATCTCGTTGGAGCCCTGGAGGAGCAGGGCCTTCTTGAGGTTGCCAGTCTGCTGGTCCATGTAGGCCACGCTGTTCTTGCAGTGGTAGGTGATGTTCTGGGAGGCCTCGGTGGACATCAGGCGCAGGAAGGTCAGCTGGATGGCCACGTCGGCAGGGTCGGAGCCCTCGCCGCCATACTCGAACTGCAGGGGAGGGGAGAGAGGGAAGAGTGAGCAGCTATGCAGGAACCTCTAGTCCTGCCTGGCCTCCCTGTCCAGGGTCCTCAGAGAGCGGCCCAATACACCCTTATATCAAGAAGGGCCACCTGCCCATAGGCAGCCTGTGTCTGAACCACTATCAGGGACCTGGGACCCCTGCCTCCCAGCCCAGCTCTGTCCATCACCCTTAGCAGAGACCTACTCCAGGACTTCATGTCCCTTCTGAGCACTGGGCTAGCCCGTCTCCTAACACTGGCTCTGAGGTCCAGCTCACGCACCTGGAATCCGTCGGTCATGCTCTCGCCGAACCAGACGTGCCTCTTGTCCTTGGGGTTCTTGCTGATGTACCAGTTCTTCTGGGCCACACTGGGCTGAGTGGGGTACACGCAGGTCTCACCAGTCTCCATGTTGCAGAAGACTTTGATGGCATCCAGGTTGCAGCCTTGGTTGGGGTCAATCCAGTACTCTCCTGTGGTAGGGCAGGGCAAGGTGGAGTCAGGGAAGTGGAGCAGCCAGCACCATATGGTAGGGGCACATATGGGCATGGGGACCCTGGCATGGCAGAAGTAGGAGGGAGGGGGAGGCTAGGGCAGGCCCTCACCGCTCTTCCAGTCAGAGTGGCACATCTTGAGGTCGCGGCAGGTGCGGGCGGGGTTCTTGCGGCTGCCCTCGGGGCTCCGGATGTTCTCGATCTGCTGGCTCAGGCTCTTGAGGGTGGTGTCCACCTCGAGGTCACGGTCACGAACCACATTGGCATCATCGGCCCGGTAGTAGCGGCCGCCATCGTGAGCCTTCTCTTGAGGTGGCTGGGGCAGGAAGCTGAAGTCGAAACCACCGCTGGGAGGACCAGGGGGACCGGGAGGGCCAGGAGGGCCGGGGGGACCCTGCACAGAGAGGGAGGAGAGTGGGGATTACCGGCGTCCAAGTGCTTTGGGGGCTGGAGGGCCATGAGGAGAGGGGATGAGGGGCTACGTACAACAGGACCAGCATCACCAGTGCGACCGCGAGGACCAGGGGGCCCAATGGGGCCAGGGAGGCCGTTGAGTCCATCTTTGCCAGGAGTACCAGCCGAGCCAGGGGGACCCTGGAGTGGGGGAAATGGTTTGAGAAAGGCTGCCAGAAGCCCCAACAACCCCAGCTCTGGAGGAGAAGCCCACCACCCTCCCTGCTGGCTCTGGCTCCACGGCCTCATAGAGCCAGTTTCAGCCTCTTTCCATAGGACATGCCATAGCTCGCTCCAGCCGCTGAGCCAGGGGAGGACGGACTGGGGAGCAGAGAGGCCAAAGCTAAATCAGATTGTTTGTTCAGGATTCTTCCTCTCTTTGCCCACTCCCTGTCCCTTAACCCTTCTCCAGAGAGGCAAAGGGTACCTGGGTCCCTGGCAAGGGTCCCCAAGGTGAGCCTGGGCTTGGGACTCAGGAAGAGGAGAGAGAAGGCATGACTTACTCGGGGACCAGCAGGACCAGAGGCTCCAGAGGGACCTTGTTCGCCAGGAGAGCCCTGAAGGACAGATAAAAAGGCAATTCAGGCCCAGTGAGGGTCAAATGTAGCCTGAGGGCCTTGCTGGAGAAACGAGGGCAGCATGGGCAGCCCATGCCCCTTCATTATTCTGGAAATCTAGCCCCAGGGTGTCCATAGGCAGAGACCTCTCCCATAATCCCTCTCTGTGTACCCCTCACCCTCTCAGAAGCTACTTGGACATGCCCATAAATCTTCAGACCCCAGTCCTCACTAGGGAGGGGTAAGAGTGACTATCCAGAGGGGGAAACCGAGGCAAAGCTCCCCCTCCTATCATACAGCACAGCATGAGGACTGGGGAGGGGCTGAGCATACTCACAGGAGGGCCAGGGGGACCCTGGAGGCCAGAGAAGCCACGGTGACCCTTTATGCCTCTGTCGCCTTGTTCGCCTGTCTCACCCTTGTCACCACGGGGGCCTTGGGGTCCCTAGAAGAGAGAAGGGGCATCAAGTGGGGCACTGTCCACATCTGTAGGGTTCTGAAGGTGTGGGAGACACAGCAGGGAACTTACAGCGGGGCCACGGGCGCCAACAGGGCCGACAGGACCAGCGGGACCAGCAGGACCCTGAGGAGAGCAAGGAGAGCATGAGATCTTGGCCAGGGGAGGCTGAGGCTGGGGCTGCAGGATGAGGCCTCCCCCTGCTGCATCTCTCTCTCCCCAGCTCCTTCCCACTGTGGCCCTCTCTCCCAACTCCCAGGGAAACCTCCCCACTGCAATCTTCATGAGAGCTGGGGCCAGCTCAAGGGAGAGGGGGTCCTGTCTGGGAGAGGGGACTTGAGGCTGAGCTTTAACTCAGTTTTTTGGATTAAGGCCCCGACATCTTGCAGGATCTCCTTTCCTCCCCCTGCCTGGGTGAAGTCCGACACCCATCCCCAGGCCTCTAAGGAGGCCTGGAGAGTCCCTGGCCTGACCAGACACAGGGAACTGGAGCCCAGCTACTTACAGTCTCACCACGATCACCACTCTTGCCAGCAGGGCCAACGGGGCCAGGGGCACCAGGAGCACCAGGAGCACCAGGAGGTCCAGCGGGGCCAGTCTCACCACGGTCACCCTGGCGGGGAGAGCAGAGGAATATGGGCCAGCTCCAGCTGAATGGCCAGGATGGGACAGGGAAGCAGCAGACAAGGCTGTGGTCATGGAGTGTCACCATCTTACCTTGGGGCCAGGAGAACCATCTCGTCCAGGGGAACCTTCGGCACCAGGAGCTCCCTGCAGAGAGAGAGAGAGAGAAGTGAGAGTCAGCCAGAGAAGAGGACTTAGGCAAGGCCACAGTGGCCATGCTGAGGGTACTGGCATGGGGGCTGGGGACTGCTCACCTCACGTCCAGATTCACCAGGGGGTCCGGCCAATCCAGGGGGGCCCATGGGACCAGGGGGACCACGTTCACCACTTGCTCCAGAGGGACCTTGTTTGCCAGGTTCACCCTAAGGGAGAAGAAAGAGTCAGGCCAGCGATAGGGTCTGAGAGGACCCATGAGTCCCCTGAGGTCATCTCTACCAACTCTGTTCTCCTTGGCTCCACCCCACTCCAAGTCCTGTGATGGTTTTTCTCAGGGTCCCCCAAGGTGAGGGGGGCACTTACAGAGGGGCCAGGAAGACCAGGGAAGCCTCTTTCTCCTCTCTGACCAGGCAGGCCGACCACGCCACGCTGTCCAGCAATACCTTGAGGCCCGGGAGTACCAGGAGCACCCTGTGGGAGGCAAACAGGGGTGAGGTGCGGGACAGCAGCACAGGGACCCCTCCCCAGCTCTGGACACCTCTGGAGCTGCAGAGATCTGAGCTGGCACTTACAGCAGGCCCATCAGCACCAGGGGATCCTTTCTCGCCAGCGGGGCCAGGGGGACCAGGGGGACCAACTTCACCAGGACGTCCAGCAGGGCCAGTCTCACCACGGGGACCTTTGCCACCTTCTTTGCCAGCAGGACCAGGAGGGCCAGGGGGTCCAGCATTTCCCTGGATGGGGATAGGAGCGGCTGTCAGACTCCAGGGGGCTCTGGTGCATCATTGGTTCCTCAGTCGGACCCACCATCCTTCTGGCAGCCCGCACCCACCACCCCCAACCTAGAGCAGTGAACTCCACTGCGGAGACTTACAGAGGGGCCAGGAGGACCGACTCGGCCAGCAGCACCAGGGAAACCAGTAGCACCCTGGAAGGAGAGAACAAAGGAACCGTCAGAGGGAGAACAGCCAAGTCATCCTATCCAGCTGCCCTCACCTGCCACCGCTGCCTGGGGAGAGGGGAGAGGCTCAGCAGAGAGGCGGGTGATACTCACAGGGGGACCAGCGCTGCCACGAGCACCTTTGGGTCCAGGAGCACCAACATTACCCTGTAGGAGAGCACAGAGGCATCAAGCCTGGACCTGTCCTGAGTCCTAGGACACCAGCATCACAGGCACAGAGGGCAAGCCACTCACAATGGGGCCAGGGGGTCCAGCGGGTCCGGCAGGGCCAGGGGGACCAGCATCGCCTTTAGCACCAGCATCACCAGGTTCGCCTTTAGCACCGGGTTGGCCATCAGCACCCTGGGGGAGGAAGCAGGGCCGTGAGTGCAGGGAAGCAGGCAGGAGTTTCCACCGGCGGGGCGAGGAGCAGTAATGGAGGCAGGAAGATGCTTGGGTGGGAAACAATCCCGTCTCCACCCTTCTCCCCAGAGGAGGGCTGACGCCTTTGTCCTCATTCTGTCCCTCGAGGTCCCAAGTCCCAGTCGGTGATGAAAAACGAGGGGGGTCTTGGTACTCACAGGGGGGCCAGCGAAGCCAGCAGGGCCGGGGGGACCAGGCTCACCACGGTCTCCCTAGAAGAAAAGGTGGCAGATTGGAGAGATGGGCTGACATGAGGGAAGGCGGAGATGGAGTGAGGGGAAAGGCAAGGGGTGGAGGCACAGACAGGGCCAGGAGTGCTATGTGAAGGGAGGGAAGGGCCAAGTGTGGGGTCTTAACAGGTCTTCTATACTTACGGGGGCACCACGAGCTCCAGTGGGACCAGCAGGGCCGCTGGGACCAGTTTCACCCTGAGAGCAAGGAACAAGAGGCTCAGGGTCAGGGCCTTCCCTGAATATTCCTGCTAGATGACCCCAGGAGAGCCTCCCCTCCCTCTGGTCCCTCCAGGTTCCCGGGTTGACAGCTCAGTTTGATAGGACCTGCTTTCCCAACCCAACCCCATGGAACCGTGCCCAGGCCTGCTGGGGAGGCTATGTGTTAGGGCAGAAGGTGGGGAAGCAGCCACCTCACCTTGTCACCAGGGGCACCAGCAGGACCAGGAGGACCAATGGGGCCAGTCAGACCACGGACGCCATCTTTGCCAGGAGAGCCATCAGCACCTTTGGGACCAGCATCACCCTAAAGACATGGATAAGCTTGAGATTTCCAGCGTGGGGCAAGGAGGCGACCTGTAGCGTTCTGCTTGTGTCTGGCTTTCCTGAGAGGCCCTCTCCTGCTCTGCCCTGCCTCCACCTGGGGCAAGGACTCAAAGGTCCTTTCAGGAAAAAGGGTGCCTGCCTGGAGACTCGCGTAGAACTGAGGTTAAGAGGCCCCTGACTTGTGTAGGGGGATGAATAAGGGAGTCTCCATCAAGGAGATGCCCCCACCTCTCATCACCATAGTAACTCATGGGGAGAGACAGGCCTGGACCACTAGGAGAGGATTCATCAGCAAAGAGGCCAGAGCGGAAAGGGGAAGAGGGGAGGATTAGTGAGAAGAGGAACAGATCCCAGGGAGAAGGAGAGATGATGAGGGATTCAAAGTAGGCAGAGATGGGAGCCATGTAGGGCTCAGGGGAGAGGGAAGGTTGAACTTACTCTGTCACCCTTAGGCCCTGGAAGACCAGCTGCACCACGTTCACCAGGCATTCCCTGAAGGCCAGGGGCGCCCTGGCTACCGGGAGCTCCAGGGGCACCAGCATCACCCTATGTGACAACCAAGAAGACTGAAGTGAGGCCTGGGGTCCCAAGAGTGGGTCATAGCCCTAAGCCCCGCTTGGTATCTCACAGGCTTAGTTCCAAGGCCAATGACAGGCCTTGAGAAAAGATGAAAAGACTCACAGCCCAGACTCCAGGCTGTCCCTACCCTGGTCTTTTCCCCCTACCCCGCACCCTATCTCCACGGCTTTGGTCATAGCCAGCCATCCCCTGCTGCAGGAGGGGTGAGACCTGGTCCCCGGGCTGCTTGCCAGAGACCCTTCCACGCTGCCCTCACCTTAGCACCATCATTGCCGGGAGCACCATTGGCCCCTCGGGGACCAGCAGGACCAGGGGGACCTTGCACACCACGCTCGCCAGGGAATCCTCTCTCGCCCTAGAAGGGAAGGACAGGGCATGTGACAGCTGTTCTGGAGACAGGGCCACGTACAAGGCACCTTGATGGATGCAGCGAGAGAGGCCTACTTACTCTTGCTCCAGAGGGGCCGGGGGCACCAAGGTCTCCAGGAACACCCTGAGGGGGAGGGAGGGAGGGAGGAACAGACAGTGAGCAAAATCTACCTGGGGCCACTCTGCTGCAAAGCACTGTCCCTCCTCCTGGGGTACGGCTGTGATGAGAGAGGAGCCCCTTCTCAGCACTGAAGTGGAATTATCCCAGACAGCCCCTCTTCCTCCTGGAGATGTGTCAGAGGCCTCCCCGCTCCCCAAACTATGGACCAAAATTTATCAATAGAAGGGTTGAGGGAAAGTCACAGTATATTCCAGCAGCTCTTAAAAGAAGTCACCCAGACTAGCAATCATGCAGCCCCCACTTCCCTCTGTGATGCTCCCTTCACGGTAGGAAGTTCTTTCTGGCATCTGATCTCAATCCCTCTAGCTGATGGCTGTCTGATGAACTAGGAGCAGCGCCTGTCCCTCTGGATTCCCTGCATCTCCCACCCTTCTGGCCGGCTGCTCCCAGCTGCTCCCTCTTACCTGTTCACCAGGTTTGCCTGCTTCACCGGGAGGACCAGCGGGGCCAGGGAGACCCTGTAGGTGGGAAATGGGGGAAGGAGGGAGGGAAGGTTTAGAATCTGGAAGAGACCAAAGAGCTGTTTCCCACCCCTATCTCCCAGCACCCTGACAGCCACGAGGCCTCACCTGGAAGCCGGGGGAGCCAGCAGGGCCTTGTTCACCTCTCTCACCAGCGGGACCCTGCACAGAGAGAACAGTGCAGTTACGGAGAGGCCCAGGAGACGAGGGGCTGAGGGTGTTTCCCCTTTCCTGCTCCCCAGATCTCCCTATCAGGGACACTCACAGCAGGGCCAGGGGGTCCCTGAGCTCCAGCCTCTCCATCTTTGCCAGCAGGACCCTGTGGGGAGAGAGCGAAGGGGAACTCAGGGTTGGGAGGCCCTGAGCAGGCTCTGAGCAGCCAACTCAGGTTGGGAGCAGCCAAGGACTGTGGCCTCTAGCACCCCTCCTGCAGGGAGGAGAAAGTGCTGGGGCAGCAACCGGAAGAGGGTAGGGAGGGACGGAAAGGAGATACTTACGACAGCGCCAGGGGGTCCGGGAACACCTCGCTCTCCAGCCTTGCCAGGCTCTCCCTGTGGAGAAAGGGAGTTAGGGTTGAGGGGACTGAAGTGAGAAGCCAGGGCCTCCTGGGGACTCTCATTTACTCTGAGTGGGACTTTTTAAGGGGCTTTCTTTTCAAAAGACTCGCTTGTTTGGCCCCCAGGGAATGCCCCTGCAGGTGCTTCTTGCTGGGCCCCTTCGAGCCCACTCCTCCTAAGATGCCCTTCCAGGCTCCTCCTCCTGCACCCTCTCCCCTGCCTTTCCCTGTTAGATGCCCGCTGTGGCCTGCACTGCAAAGGGCTTTCCTCTCCTCTGCTATCTCCTTTTGGACCTTGAAGAACCCACCAAGAATGGGGGCGCCTATCATATCATAGGCCTGTCCTATCCCCACGTGTGGGGGGTGGAGGACCACCAACAACACTTCTTATTTCCAGCACAGAGCAGTGGTCATGGAGCCTGGAGAAGTCTTTCATTTTTTTTCTTTTTATTTTTTTGGTTTTTTTGAGACGGAGTCTCGCACTGTTGCCCAGGCTGGAGTGCAATGCAGTGAGTGCAGGCTCACTGCAACTTCCGCCTCCCGGGTTCATGCAATTCTTCTGCTTCAGCCTCCTGAGTAGCTGGGATTACAGGTGCACACCACCACACCCAGCTAATTTTTTGTATTTTTAGTAGAGACGTGGTTTCACTATGTTGGCCAGACTGGTCTCAAACTCCTGACCTCATGATCCGCCTGCCTTGGCCTCCCAACGTGCTGGGATTACAGGCATGAGACACCATGCTCAGCCGAGAAGTCTTTCATTTTACAGATCAGGAGACTGAGGTCCAGAAAGCAAGAGTGAGTGGCCACACAGCAGGTAGCGGCAGAGCTGAGCCCAGAGCTCAGGACTCCTTTGAGTCTCAGGTGTGCCTGTCCCTGGCTCTTCATGGATCCTCACTGAATACTCACAGCAGCACCTTTAGGTCCAGGGAATCCCATCACACCAGCCTGACCACGGGCACCAGGGGGGCCTGGGGGTCCGGGGCGACCATCTTGACCGGCGGGACCCTAAGGATGGGAGTCACGAAAGCAGCGGTGAGGATAGTGAGGAGGTAGACAGGACAGTGGCAGGGGGTCAGGGGGAGTGATACTTACAGGGGGGCCAGTTTTGCCATCAGGACCAGGGCTGCCAGGGCTTCCAGTCAGACCCTAGGGAGGCAGAGAGGTATGAGTGGGTTTGGGGGAGAAGCATGATGGAGGTGAGGGGGGACTCCGGAGGGCAGACCCCTGGGCCTGCTCCAGAACGCCTCATCCCAGACCCCACATGGGATGGTCAGGGCCTGGCCAAGCCAGGCCGAAGGACTGGGGCCTCACCTTGGCACCAGGCAGACCAGCTTCACCGGGACGACCAGCTTCACCAGGAGATCCTTTGGGGCCAGCAGGGCCAGGAGAACCACGTTCACCAGCGGGACCCTGGTTGGGAGAAGTCACAGGAACAGTTAGGGTCGCAAGTTTGGGGCTCTTTGCCATGGGCCAAAAGAGGAAGATGATGCCCAGGGAGCGGCAGGGACAGCCCCCCGGCCTCAAGGAGAGGTTACCTTGGGACCAGCAACACCATCTGCACCAGGGAAACCACGGCTACCAGGTCCACCCTGCAGGAGGAGAGGAGGCCAGTTAACTCAGAGACACATGGGCACCAGCCAGGCACTGAGGGTGGAGTGGGAGGGGGCGGGCAGGGGCACTTACACGCTCGCCAGGGGGTCCGGGCAGGCCAGTGGGTCCGGGTTCACCTCGAGCTCCTCGCTTTCCTTCCTCTCCAGCAGGGCCAGGAGGTCCTTGAACACCAACGGGGCCCTGGAGAGAGCCGAGAGGAGGGGGCGGCCTGTGGTGAGGGGCCATCCTATGCCAGCCTCAGAGCTGGCTGAGGCTGGGCTTCCAGCATCAGGGGTGGGGCAGGGGCTCCCCCAGAAGGCTAGGGGTTCCTCTTCCTTTCTGGATCTCCCTCAGGGGGCTTCCAGGGCAAGGTGGGCTGGGCTGCAAGAAGAATGACAGGGAGACTTACGGGTTCTCCCTTAGCACCAGTGTCTCCTTTGCTGCCAGGAGCACCAGGTTCACCCTGCAAGGGGGGAGAAGAGGATGAGCTGAGAGTTGGGGGCGTTCAGTTGGCCTGCATCTTCCTGCTCCCCAGATGAGAGCCGCACTGGAGCCAGTGCATGGGGCGGGCAGAAGTTTGGTACTCACGCTGTTACCCTTGGGACCGGGAGGGCCGCCGGGGCCCTGGGGTCCAGAGGGGCCTCGGGCACCAGGGAAGCCAGGAGCACCAGCAATACCAGGAGCACCCTGTGGGAGGCAGACAGCCAGGTGAGCCTAGGAGCAGAGGGAACGGGGCAGGCAGGCTGCAGGCAGCAGGGGTGGGACTGAAGCCTGGCAGGATACTTACATTGGCACCTTTAGCGCCAGGCTGTCCATCAGCACCAGGGTTTCCCTGTGGCACAGAGAAAGGAGTGTGAGCAACAGGCAAGGACTCTGAGGTTAGAAAGTGGCACAGGGGACACTGAGGCAGGGACACTTACAGCAGGGCCAGCAGCACCAGCAGGGCCAGGGGGGCCAGGCTCACCACGCACACCCTGGGGACCTTCAGAGCCTCGGGGACCTTGGGGACCAGCTTCGCCCTGGATCAGAAGAAAGGACATATCAGAAGCCACCCTAGGAAACCCAACCTTGCCTCTTGGGATGACAGGAGGAAGGGGAGACAGGGACAGGAGAGCAATGATCAGGACTCTAAGATCAGACACAGAGCCCCTGGGACAAAGGTGTTAGTGAACGGGTTGCTCTCTTGCCATTCTGGGTCCCTTTGGTTTGGGGAACAAGGAGACGTGAACCGCTTGGCCCATGAGGGTCATGCTCAGAGGAGAGTGGGGGGTCTCACCTTAGCACCAACAGCACCAGGGAAGCCAGGAGGACCAGCGGGGCCGGTAGGACCCTGTGAATGAAATGGAGATCTTAACGAGAAGGAAGAGATGACAGCTGCAAGTCACACCCTGGGACAGAAGAAGCCCTGGGGTTCAGACCAACACAACCTGCCCCCAGTGTCAGCTCCGAGAGCAGACACTGAGACTCCTCCCCACTCCCAGGCCCTGAGGCCTACAGGCCACACTCACAGGGGGTCCGGCAGCACCAGTAGCACCATCATTTCCGCGAGCACCCTGCAGGAGAGAGGGGAAGCCCCGTTAAGTCCACTGAGCACTGGTCAGTCCCTAGAGCTCCTGGGGAGCCCCTTTAAGAGCCCAGGGTTCCCCCAAGGGGCTAGGAGTACTTACAGCAGGGCCAGGGGCTCCAGGGCGACCTCTCTCACCAGGCAGACCACGGGGGCCCTGACAACCAAACCAAGAGAAGTCAAATGAGATGGGAGACAGCCTCGTTCCCCCAGGCCTCCATCTTGCCCCTGCCTCCTGCCCGTCCCTGCCCTCTGGAACTGGGCACACTCACCATCTGACCAGGAGCTCCATTTTCACCAGGGCTGCCAGGCTCACCCTGTAGAACAGAGAATAATGAGTGAGAAATTCATTCATAGTGGGACTCTGGGGATGTGGAGGACCGTGATGTTGAGACAGCCTCTTACCTTGGGACCAGCAGGACCAGCATCTCCCTTGGCACCATCCAAACCACTGAAACCCTAAAGCAGGAAAGAGGTAGAAGGTGAGGATCTGTGGAGGGGGTGGAACAACCTTGACACCCATCTAGATCTGAGAAAGAGCCTTGAGAGGTCATCACCGCCATTCCCCTGTTTCTGAGCTAGACTAAACCTCAACTGGCTCAAGATCTCCCCCAGTTGTTTAATCGGGACTTCTTTCCCATGAAGGGAGGTGCTTTGGATGTCCACTCTCTGTCCCTCAGGGCTTCTGTAGCTGCCACCCACCATGATGCATCTCAAGATCTTTTGGGGAAGAGGCTGGGACTGGATGGGGGTATGCTGGGGACCTGGGGAGCTTAAATGACTCAAAGGGAACTCACTCTGTGTCCCTTCATTCCAGGGAGGCCAGCTGTTCCGGGCAATCCTCGAGCACCCTGGAGAGAGATGAAGGCGGCGAGGAAGGGTCATTAGAACACACCACCATGGACCCAGCTCCTAAATGAAGCCCAAGTGCAGTGAAGCCCAGGTTCAGCCACAGTCCCCTGCTCACCTGAGGCCCAGGAGGCCCACGCTCACCAGGACGACCAGGTTTTCCAGCTTCCCCCTGAGAGGGAGAGAAAAGACCGTCAGGCCCCTGCCTCCCCACCACCGCCCAGGGGCTGGAAAAATGGGGAAGGTCTCAGTCTTCTCTGGGTTGTTGCAGGTCAGGTTTGGGGGCCCAGAATCTTATCTTTGAATCTAGAGCTCAGTTTAAATCTACAGTGAAACCTTCGTTTGGTGAAACCTGAGTGCCTCTAAAGGAATTTCTGTCTACTTCTGTCACCAGCATTTTAATCTCACCATCTGTGCGCCAGTTTCCCCAGAGGGATGGGGTTGGGGATTGCTCTAAGGTGGCTGGGGTGAGGAGAACAGTCACCTTGTTGGGGACATGGAATCATCTCACTAAGGGAAAGGATCATTGTTCAAGGGTAGTCCACGCATCAGAGAGGACTTGCCCTCCTTCCTCTGAGTATCGTTCCCAAAGGCGGTGGAGTGGAAATTGCAGGACCCAACCCACGGAGGCCATGGGGTCAGATGGTATCTTCTTGCTGGGGATACTTACATCATCTCCGTTCTTTCCAGGGGGGCCAGGGGGACCTCGGGGACCCATGGGACCCTAGAAAAGATAAAAGAGGTGGTTAGAATAAGGATAAGAAAAAAAGAAGGGGAAGGCTGGGATTGAAGGGAAGAGGCAAGGAAGACCCCAGGCCTGGGGGTTCTTCGATAGGAGAGTCTGTGTGTTTGTAGAGGGAGTGTGTATCTGTACAGAGAGTGCTTACTGAAGCTCCAGGCTCGCCAGGCTCACCAGGGGGACCTTGGAAGCCTTGAGGACCCTTGAGAAGAAGGAAAGAAAGATGGGGTTAGAAAGCAAGTCCCCGCCAACCTTCTCCAATCTTACCAAGAGATCTCTGAGCATCTCCCCTTCCCTCATCCCGATCTTCCCTCCAAAAGACCAAAGCCCAGGGAGGCATATGAATATATCCTGGATACTCACAGGTGCACCAGGGGGGCCAGGGAGACCACGGGGACCAGAGGGACCCTACAGAAGGAGAAGAAAGGGGGGTCATGGTGATCTCTCTGTAGGAAAGCATGTGGATGTAGTCATTCATGCCTGTTGGGACCACCCAGTCATCCTGCATCCTTTCTGGACTCTGAGGTCCCAAAGGTGATCTTGACCTCCCAAGCTGTCTATGCCAGCTGCCTATGCCCACCTCCTCTGGATACTCATTCTCTCTTCTGTCATCCCTGCTCCCCCTGCTGGCTCACCATGGGACCAGGCACGGAAATTCCTCCGGTTGATTTCTCATCATAGCCATAAGACAACTGGGGAGCGAAGTTCTAGAACAAACAAGAGAAGTCAGGGTCAGGATAGTGAATTGAAAGGCAGAAGATGGCACTGAGGATGGAAGAAACTGACATCATGCGCTTCCTGGTGTGATGTGCTAAGAAAAATAACATTGCTTGTAAGATACTCCTGCCAAAAATGCATCCTGCATCCAATCTAATCAGACAATCCTAAACTGAGGGACAGTCTGCAAAACAACCGGACTCTTCAAAACTCCCAGTGCCACGAAAGACAAAGAAAGTCTGAGGAATGTTCCACATTTGTGGAAACTAGAGACATGATGATTAAGTGCAAAATCCATAATCCTGGACAAGATCCCAGGTAGGGGTGGTGGGGGTGGAATTTATACAGGACGTTATTGGGACATGGGTGAACTTTGAATACGGGCTGCACATTAGAGAGTGAATTTAATCACTGTGCTATGGTTAGTTAAGAGAATGATCTTGCTTTTAGGAAAAACACACCGAAGTATTTAGGCGCAAAGGAACCTGATGTTAGCAACTTACTCAAACAGTTCAGAAAAAAAAAGCTACATATACATAAACAGAAACTAATAAAGCACATGTCACAAACTGTGAAGGGCATGTGAGAGTTTCCTGTAGGATTCTTGCAACTTTTCTGTAAGTTTGAAATTGTTTCATAGTATAAAATTATGTCATCTGCCAAAAACAAAAACAAAACAGGGGAGAGTGGACACACAAGGCCTTTTCACTTACTCCTCCGAGGCCAGGGGGTCCGGGAGGTCCGGGGGGTCCGGGGGGTCCGGGAAGTCCAGGCTGTCCAGGGATGCCATCTCGGCCAGGGGGGCCTGCGGGTCCCTGCAGGGGGAGAGGGCGGGGCCGGGTTGAGCGTGGGGCCAGGAGCCACGCCCACCTGCAGCTCCCCACAGCCCAGAGAGTGCAACGCTTACCCTTGGGCCTCGGGGGCCAGTGTCTCCCTTGGGTCCCTGTGGGATTGGGGAAGAAGAAACAAGAGGCCAGGTTAGAGAAGGGAGGACCGTGAGGAGGCACGGGCGGCGAGGGACAAAAGTCGAGGGCAGGAGATTACCTCGACGCCGGTGGTTTCTTGGTCGGTGGGTGATTCTAGGGGGCGAAGAGACGCGCGTTAGAGCCAAGGTTTGCTAATGCCGCTCCTGGCGGCAGAGGCCTCCAGGCTGGAGGGCCAGCGAGCGCCGACCATCCCCAGCCCCAGCCCCAGCCCCAGCCCCAGCCCCTAGGCCCCAGGCCCCGAGCGCAGTCGCACCTGAGCCGTCGGGGCAGACGGGACAGCACTCGCCCTCGGGGACTTCGGCGCCGGGGCAGTTCTTGGTCTCGTCACAGATCACGTCATCGCACAACACCTTGCCGTTGTCGCAGACGCAGATCCGGCAGGGCTCGGGTTTCCACACGTCTCGGTCATGGTACCTGAGGCCGTTCTGTACGCAGGTGATTGGTGGGACTGGGACAGGCAGAGGAAGAGGGGCGTTGTCAGTAGTGTCTGCGACTCCCACCTTGGGGCTCCAAGACCCTCACCTTAACCACCTTTCCCCTGGGTCTAAGAGGCACACTTGGATTTTTCACTTCCCGCGCCTTCTCCCTGTTCCTCTTTCCTTAAATCCTTAAAAGTTCGCCTGCTCCTCATCAGCGCGGGTGACAGCGCCGAGGCGCCTGGCCAGGGAGGCTGTAACTCTTTCCAGTTCTCAGGAATTTAAACAAAGCTTTAGGCCGCGGTGGCTTCCAACTCCAACCTCAGCCCATTGGCGCTGAAGCCAAGTGAAATAAAAACCACAGGGTGGGAGGTGGGGGAGGGCAGGGGGAGAATAGGAGGAGCCCTATCGGGAGGGCAGGCTCGCGGGGAGTGGCTTGCGCGGTGGAGACAGGAGGAGGGCGCGGGAGGAGAGAAGGGAGGTCCAGTCCTCATCCCGCCTCCTTCCCTGGGCAGGTGGGGTGGCAGGGGCGGGGCTAGGAGAATGGGAGCGGCTGATCGGAGGGGAGGCCCCCCCAAGACTTGAAATGTACCTCAAAATTAGGAGACACCCTAACCTCCAGGACCTAGACATCTTAAAAGCCCGCTCTCGGGGCCATCCCCAGTCCCCCAAAGCCAGCCAATGCCTCCAGGTCACTTTTAGCCAAAGAACCAAAAAGTCCACAAATAGTCCAGAAGTTAACTAACCTCTCCCACCGCGCTAGCGGCTCCCCAGACGGCCGCTAGGTGTCGGGCAACGCTAAGCAATGGGGCCGGGGCGGGGCCAGCCTCACCGGCCCGACTACCTCTTTAAGAAGCTTGGGCTGCCCCATCGCCGGCTTTACTTTCCAGATCTAGAGATGGGGTCCGCACCCAGCAATAACTCAGGTCTTCCCGCTCCGGCTCCTGCCCCAAGAAGCGTTGGACCGGGAGACGCAGTGCTCAGCACCGGTCAGAAGGGGGCGCAAGGATCCCGCCCCACCAGGTCCGCGCCAAAGTTTCTCATCCTCCACCCGCCCACGCTCCGCGCCCCCTCCGCCGCGGCCCAGCACCCCCACAGCTCCAGCAACAGTCTAGCCCGGAGAGAGGGCAATCTTTCCTTATGAATCATCCCACAGCCTTCCTGATTGCTTCTACATCTTGGGCTTCAAATCCCCCGCTCGGCGCCGCCATCCCATCTTCGACGTGCTTTCCTCACTCTGCACCCAGATCCCTACTTTCCCGGTTGCGCGCTCGGGATTCTCTCTCGCACCAGCTCACGCCGCGCTCCACCCTCACCTCCCGCTCCCTGGGCGCGTTCATCCCCAACCTCGCCCCAGGGTGAGCTCTGTCCTTTCTCAGGGCCCCGTGGAAGAGCCCTTATCATCTCCCTTCCATCCCGAGTCTCCGGAGCATCCACGTCTCCGTTTAAGCTGCGGCCCCCGGGACCAAGCGCAAGGCGCGATATAGAGTATCCTTGCACTCCCAAAAGTTTGGGACTTACTGTCTTCGTCTTGGCCCTCGACTTGGCCTTCCTCTTGGCCGTGCGTCAGGAGGGCGGTGGCCGCTAAGAGGAGCAGGAGCCGGAGGTCCACAAAGCTGAACATGTCTAGACCCTAGACATGTAGACTCTTTGCGGCTGGGGAGGGGGTTAGCGTCCGCTCATGCGTGGCCTCACACTCCGCGTGCCTCCTGCTCCGACCCCGAGGAGAAACTCCCGTCTGCTCCGACGCCTGGCCCGGGCCTCTTTTATACTGTCCTGATGGAGAGCAGGGAGGAACCCTGCCCCTCAGAGAGGGGGAGCCGGCCGCCCGTTCCCCAGCCAATCAGAGCTGCCTGGCCCGGCCCCCAATTTGGGAGTTGGAATGGAGAGGGGGAGGAGGAGGGAAAGGAGTCCACCCCACATCTCCCCCCTTCGCAGCTCTGCCTCCCCAGCCCCCCAGCCCAGCCTGGGCCAGAGGTGCTGTGGCAGGGGTGCAGCTGGGTCCTCAGAATGGCATGGGCTAAGCCGTGGGTAGGGGTGCCCCTCTGCTCTCTTCTTGGGACTTCCAATCCAGAGGAAGTGGAACTGGGGAGCTGGGTGGGGAGACTTCCAAAGGTGGAAGGGTTGGGGGTGTTGGGGAGGGGGTCCTCCTGGCTGTACCCCACTCGCCCTCTGACTTTTCTGGCAAGAGCTAAGGGAGGGGCATAAAGAGGCCAGCTGAGGACCTCTCCAAAACAGGGGAAGCTGGGAATTTAAAAGATGTGCCTGTTTGGGGGTGTCTTCTGGTGTGGCTAGGGGATGGAGCTTGGGAGTATTTGGGGGACAATTTACAGATTCTTTTCTAGACATTAAGAACCAGATATCTGAGGGAAGGGTGCAGGCAAGGGAGTTTTAATTTTGAGGATGTCAATTCTTCTGCTGTGCTCCAGGACAGAATCAAATGCTTTCCTCCAAACGCTAGGCATGATTGAGAGATGGGGTGGGGAGGCTGAGGTGCACGGTGAGAAACATGACTAGGTGGTCTCTCCGGAAGAAAGCTTTGGTGTTGGGTGATGGAGCAGCCAGGTAGGGGTGGGGGATTCTAGGGACACAGAGGTGGGGATTGGGGCTTGCAATCCCCTAAAAATTCATTCCCCAAGCTCTTGTACCCCAGAGTTGGGAAGTATTTTTAGTGGGAGGCCTGTGATCATTGGTGACTTAGAGAAGAGTTTTGTTTGCTATGGCTGTGGCCAGGGGCTGCTTAGAGACCCTTCTACCCAACACAGTCAAACCAGGGAGAACCTGGATGGAGGGAGGAAACTTAGCTAAAGAGATGTCTTTCTCGGAGCTGCATAAAGCCCCTTCTCCAGTTGTACCTGGACTCAGTGTTGGGGGTGTATGGGATATTTTGGGTGTCTGGGTGAAACTTGCCTTTGGGGTGTGGGATGAGCTGCAGAGGATGATTGACTTTATTTTAGGGGCTACTTCCCACTGCCTCATCTCTTTCCTGAAAAATCCCGGTCACTGCTCTTTGCCTTAGGAACCAGAGAGAATCATCTGTACACTCTGAAAGGGGCTGGGGACCTGAAGGACAGCAGGCTATATCTAGGGAAGATGCCTCTAGAACTCCGTGTCCTTTCTTCCTCCAAGTCTGAATCCCCCAACAGGGCTCTGCCTCAACCCCAATCTACCTCGTCCTAACAAACTCTGTAGGGCTGAGAGAAGGCCTGGGGGTCTCCTTGCAGTGCCCTGTTCATTTCTCTCCCTCCTGTGCAGCTCCCCACCCCCGGTGCTCCAGAGCTGCAAACGTGGAAGCGGGGAGTCCCGCCTCCCCCAAACCATCCAAGATTCCATTGCCTCCCCCCGCCCCTCTCCACGCCCTCCCCCAGCTGGTTTTGTGCAACGAAGGCAAAGGGGAAAAAAAAGGAACAGAAGGGGAGGGAGCCACGTCGGCTGGCCGTGGGCAGCCAGGATGAGCGGTGCGGGTGGGGCAGCAAAGGGAGACTGCAGGGGCTATAATTAAAGGGAAAATATAGAGTTTCCAGAGAGGCAGGGCTGGAGACAGCAATGGAGGGACGGACCTTCATCAATTATCCCGACCATGTGGCAGCGACTTGTGGCCCAGGGTCTGCCCCCGCCTAGTGCCAGCGACTGCAGGGCAGGAATGGGGGGCTGAGGTGCTGAGATGGCAGTTCTTGAACCCACCAAAGTCCTGCCTTCTACTGTGGGTCAGTTCCAAGAGACCGCTTCCCTAATAGGGGACAGGGGTCCTGTTTTTGGAGGGAACAGACATTTGGAGTGGTGGTCTAGGGCAGGGTGTCACAGGACTTGGTGGTATGAGAGTTAGTGACCTGTCCACCTTGCTTCTTGGGTTTTTGTAGCGAGAAGGGCTCCTGCCTGCAGCTCCCCGCCCCTCCCCACATGTTCCCCATCCAGGCTTTCCCACGCCCATCTTAAAGAAGAGTTGAAACCTCCAAGGTGTGAACTGGGGGTTGCTACATCATGGGCCTGGGGTTCTGAAGGATATTTGGGGATCCCTGGTATTGGGGTTGTGTGTGCCTGGTGTGTGACAGCCACCACCCCAACGTCCAATTCCAGGCCTTCCTCCCAGGGGCCAAGGCAGACAGTTTCCAAGCATCCTTTACACGTGGCATGGAGCTGAGGCTCAAGGCCTCCCCTGCCACTCTTCGACTTAAAACGCTTGGCGGGCGCCCAGGCTGAAGATGTGTCTTTAATTTCTGCAGTATGACAGTGAGAGGAAGAATGTGCTTGGGGTCTCCTCCCAGCCTGGCTGGGCCTTCCTGGCCAGGATTGAGGGCTGCAGACTGGGGGGATGGGAAGTGGGAGGAGGAGGGAGCTTGTGCCTGTGAGAGGAGGAGACGCCACCTCATCTTTAGGAAACTCTGAAGCTCTGGCTTCTTGTGGAATGTAAGACTTTGTCCGGCACTTAAAGTGGGGGGGAGCAAAAGCCAAAATCTCCTCCCCACACCCCCAAGAAATGGTAAAGTCATCAGCAGTGAGGGAAAAAAAAATTCCTTAAGAAGAAAAACAGAAAGAGGAAAGTGCTGAGCTCTGAGTTCTCTCCTTCTCCAAATTTCCCCAAGTGTCCCCCGCAACACAAAGAAGGAGGGAAGAGGCTCCCACCCTCAGAGCTCCTCAGGTGCCCCATCTGGACTCCATGGTGTGGGACAAAGGAGAACACACCTGGAAGAGGTAGCCCAGGTGCTGTGCACCTGGTGGGGGGCATGCCCCCCTGCCCTGCACATCCGAGTCACCCTTTGCAGCTGCTGCAGCCTCCAGTTGAGGTTCTGTTGCCCTTCCCCCAACTCCGATTCTCCAGAACGCTTCTCTGCTCCCATCTCTAGCCCCAGACTGGTAATAGAGAGGGAGTTCCTAGGAGAGGGGCTGAGGAGAGAGAAGGGCGGGGTCTAAGAGTAGGGTGCAGTGAAGACCCCAGGATGAAGCTCTCCATGAGTCTCTATCATGGAGTCCTGCACAGTTCCTGTTGAGGGAGCCTGGAGCAGAGTCTGGGGACAGACCCCTGGTGTGTGCGGGTCCTTCTTCTTCCCTTGCTTTAGCATTGCATGGTCTGAGCCCTTTGCTAGGTTCCTCGGCTTCCAGGTACAGCTCTGCTCTTCTATGCCTTAGCCTGAAACCCAAGTCCTCCAGCCTCCTAGGATTTCCCTCTTTCTCTTCCTCCCTCCCTCCTTCCTTTCCAGGGTTAGGGGGAAGATGCTGAAGTAGCTTTTGTCCATGCTGAGTGTTTGAAGCCTGTGAGACATCCAATTAGAAATATGGAGGAAACCCTTGGGTGCCTGGGTCGGGAGTTCAGAGGAGAGACAAATGTGGGGCCCAGGACGATGGTAACTGAAGCTGGGGTTGTGGATGGTGTTGTCTCAGAGAAAGCATGGAGGGAAGAGTGTGGAGGGGCTAGCCCTGAGCCTCGGGGACCCTCAGGGTGTAAGGGCTGGGTGGAGGAGGAGGAGGAGACAGGGCAAGAGTGGCCAGAGAAGAAGGACTGGGTGAGAGGGATTGGGGGTCATGAGTGCAGAGGAAAAAGATGGTGCCAGAAGGAAGGAGAGTTATATGCTGTAGAGAGAACTAGTATGGTAAGGAGTAAAACGTTCCCTGGACTTAGCAGAATGGTGGTGATTGATACCCCCCAGTGTGAGCTGCTGTGGTGGAGTGATGGGCAAGGAAGCTGGACTGGAGTGGGCTAAGGAGTGTGTGGGAGGCCAGGAAGCAAGGTCAGAGGGCAGCGACTGGGAGGAGGAGTCTGGCTGTGGCAGGAGTCTAGAAAGGCATCTGTCCCCTGCTCTTTCTCTTTCTTTCCACCCCCGATCCTGCCTTCCTTTCAGGTCCCTGCATCCCTCCTCTCCCTTCCGAGTTACCTCACTGCTTTCTCCATCCCCCTCTGTCTCCAGAGCTCCTTTTCTGGATCACATTTGCCTCTTCTGCTCTCCCTCCCCCTTTCCTTTTCTTCCCAGGTGACCTGAGTCCTCAAATGTCCACAGCCAGGCCCAGCCTCCCACTCATTCTCCCCTAGAACAAGCCCTCATTCCAGACTCCTGAAGATGAGCCTTGTTTTCTAGTCCTGGACGGATTCCACCCCATTCTTTGCCCCCTGCCCCCAACACCCCCACCCGAGTCCTAGACGGAGAACTTGGGAGCTGGAGAGAGAAGGGCTGGGGGTATGGCCTGTTACGGGCCCGGGCTCCCAGGCCCTCTCCAGCCACCTCACCAGGTCCCAGCCAGGCCCCTGCTGAGAATAACGCACTGGACGGGGGATGTTGTTGAGTTAGGGGACCCCAGTTCTCACTGCCGCTCTCTGGTAGTCAGAAGTGAGGGGTCAGCCTCATCATTCCTGCTGGAGTGAGCTCCTGGCTGGGTAGCTGGCAGCTTCTCTGTCACATCCCTCCCTGCTCCTGATGTCTGGAGACAGTGTAGTTCTTCTTAAAAGTTGGCTTGGCCAAGTGCAGTGGCTCACACCTGTAATCCCAACACTTTGGGAGGCTGAGGCAGGCGGATCACCTGAGGTCAAGAGTTTGAGACCAGCCTGGCCAACATGGTAAAACCCCATCTCTACTAAAAATACAAAAACTAGCCGGGCGTGGTGGCGTGCACCTGTAGTACCAGTTACTTGGGAGACTGAGGCAGGAGAATCACTTGAACCCAGGAGGCGGAGGTTGCAGTGAACCGAGATCGTACCATTGCACTCCAGCCTGGGCAAAAAAAGGGAAACTCTCTTCCAAAAAAAAAAAAAAAAAAAGGAAAAGAAAAAAA